AAAAAAACATCTCTCATGTATAATATTAGTGGCATCACAAGTACGAACTGGATAAACATGTGTGAATCCTTCATAAATTCAGTCATATTTATTGTTACCATCAGGGCAAATTAGAAACCTGGCCAGCTGCTGCACAATTTGAGCATGTTCTGTGGAGAGTTGTAGGGGGGCACCAACTCTGAGAGGAAAAGCTGTAGGAGCTGGACTTGTTCGGCCTGGGAAGTAACAGCTTCAGGGGGACACAAAGGCAGCCTCCTCAGTAACTATGAGGGGTTTGTTGAGAAGATGGCTCCGGGCTCTCTGTTGAGGTGCTGTGTAGAGGAAAAGGGACAACTGACATAAATTGAAAAAAACCAAGTTTTAGATAAGGCAATTTTCACTACGAGAATGATTAAGGAACAAGTTACCCAGAGTCCTTGGAGGTTTTCAAGACTGGGCAAATCCATGAGTGCTCTGATGTGGATTCACTGTGACCTAGCTTTGAGCAGGAGACCCCCGAGGGCCCTCCTGGCTGGGGTGTCTCTGTGATGCTACTAACCAGCCGCTGGATGTCACTCTGCGATCACTGAATAGCGCTGCTACCACCGGCAAACAAAGGATCAAATCCCATTGTAGCAGGAAGGCTTTCTTAATTACAAGCTTTTTACCTCAGGTAATGATTTAGGAGTATTATACTTCTTCAAAGCCAACCTTGCTGAGAAATACACAACAGTTTAGTTTAAAAGCTTCTGAATCCCCACATAAGGTTGAAAACTTAATGCTAACTTCAGCCAATTAGATACCATTAAATTGCCAGTCAAAAGTGCAGTTTCAGGGCACATCGAGAGTCATACACAGCCTTGCTTAAATGCAAAACTGAAATATAAAACACGCTGTGCATATATTTCTCCTATACTGGGATAAAACAAACAGTAACAGACTATAAGATCTTGTCATTTAAATCACACACACTGTATGTAAGATATTTTGTATATATTATTAAAACAGTAACAGTGAAACTACTGTAATTTCTATAAAGAACCTGCAAGGACAACAATCACTGTAGGGGGAAAAGAAATAAACTAGAAAATCAAAAGCATCTTCCAATGCCTGCTAGCATAATATTGATTCTCCTCTCCTTCTCCTCAAAGTCACTTCCTGCTTATTTCAGCCAAGTACACTACTACAGCATGAACACTTAGGGGTCTGAATGGCAAGATACGTTGTTCTGAAATGAGCTTCAGCTTCTCCTAATAATGTGAAATACAGAAAGCAGATCTGTGGTCAGTGTCAAACTACTAATCTTTAACTGCCAACTTCACATTAACAGTGATGCCAACTGCAAGCACTCAAAAGTTTTCTACAGACATCTTGCACTTTCTTCCCCACTTCCCCCAGTTTTAATCATACAAGATAATTTTGTTTACCTTCAGCACTAGTGCTGTTAAGATCAAGGTTGTCATGCTTCCCTACATTTGTAAAGGGTAGAAACTCAGACCTTCCTCCAAAACCAAGAGATTCTCAAGTAATAAACAAGCCTCAGCAATGGGAATTTTAAATTAATAAAACATTTATTTGAGAAACTTGCAATAAAATGACAATTGAGGCATAAATTAATAAAACATTTATTTGAGAAACTTGCAATAAAATGACAATTGAGGCATACTGTGCCTCTTCTCTAGAGTGAGAAGACCATGTCAGATTGCAACATCTCCACTCTTCTGAGCACACACACCATCCCTTGCAATATGAATCCACCCAACGTGCCTCCTTGGTGTAGCATTTACAGTGAAGAGATTGTCCTCAGAGAAGCAATGGCCATAAAGATCAGAAATTGCCGCATTCGTTGCATTACATCCCTGGTGACTAATGGGCAATTAAAAAAGGATCCTGTCAAAAAGTCACATGATGAAGCTATCAATTTATCTAGCCTATCATACCAGGGTTCTCATTACAGCATAGGTGAGTGCTGGTGAGATGACAATGTGGATGTATAAAACAAGTACCTACGACATTGTGCAGATGAAAGGTGCTATAAAGCTACATTAGATTGGAAACCATTCAACAGTTGCACATTAGAGACTGAATTCAGTAGCTTTGCCAGTACAATGCTTCCTCACAGCCAGATGCTTTATGAATTTCACAAAGTATTCCTTATCTTACTTTCCTCAGAATTAGATATTCAAGTAGCTAAGATAGACTTTGATGCCCCTTGAAAGCCTGCTGAGTTATTTTCTGCAGAGAAGAGATCTCTGCAGAACAGGGTCTCTGATGGCAGCCAGGGAAAAGGCAAAGAGAAATAAATATATACTGCCCACATTCTGCCACGATGACTCCAGACTTGCTATAGCTGCAAAAGAAGTCATAGCAGGCTGTTTTTCACTGATACTCCAAATGTTGCCCTTTGTGTAAGCTCAAAAAGAACAATTGATGTATACTTACTCTCTGTTGCATGCATCCTGCACTGACAGTATTCTCCTCTTTATTGTTGTTTTACTTTCCTGAAGTATTCATAGTTCATACAAGCTGGTGAAAGAGCAAACAGGAGCAGAAACCAGTTATGCCTGCAAGTTTTTCTTTACAAGGACATGGGTTAAGGATTAAGTGCAATGTCAAGGACTGAAACCATTGGTCTTACATTAAATCAAGTTATAGTCCAATTCTCCTGGCCTGGAGCTCCTGCACTGTAAATGAAGAGGACAGTATCTTCGAGGAGAAATGTATATAAAGCTTTCTACTTCTGCCTCTTACACATCCATATAGAACCGGATACATTAAAAAATATAAGCAATTAACTGAGATGATTATTTGAGGACGAACTCATATTTTTCAATAGCAAGTGTGATACCAGGGATTTAACTAATAATCTATAGAGACTTTAATAAAATAAAGTTTATTAAAAGGCTCAGTAGGTCAAACTTATTAATCTTTAGTTGAGTAATATCTTTAACTAAACAAAAGGACAGTTATTTTAGCTAAGGGAGGGGTAACTGCTTGTAGCAAAATGAAGGAACTGAGGCCTGAGTATGTAACTGTTTGTAGCACAATGAGGGAGCTGAGGCCCAGAAAACAAGAGGCTACATTGTCTGCTGAAGTTGCTGACTTTTAACAGTACAGCAGTTCTGACCAAAGGTGAAAAGTCACTCTGATGAAGACTTCAGGCCTTCCTCCTCAAAGACCACCAGAGGACCCCCAAGACCATACTACACACGTGCAAGTAGGAGAGAACATATGATAATAAACTCTTGGAACTAATTATAATAACCCTGCCCAATTCTCAGAACTATTTGTAATAACCCTGCCCAGTTAATACATATGTATATAAACCCTGGATAAATATAAAATCACTGCCTGTCGGGGTGTGCAAGCTTTGAGAACGATCCCTTTGCACCTTGGCGCCAAATAAACATACCTGCTTTATAACTTTATATGAGTTATAGAGTTTGTTTCCACATGTCAAGTGCTAAACCTCACCTCACAATTTTAATTCATGACATCCATGGTACAATTTAATGTGTTTTGTGTGTTGTTTACAAACGCCTACTGCTACATGTACTCTTCTGGTACTTGGTGTTTCTAACGTGTGCGCATTAGGTGTAGGATGCATTTCCGCTGAGCAACAGACCTATCTGAAATAAATGCATGCAATTGCAAATGCCTGATCTTGGAAAGCTGTGCGAAGTGTAAGGATCCAGCTAAAAAATTACACTTTTTTTTGGTTTAAAACTAATCGTTTGCTCACAAACAATTCTGCCAGAGGTCTTTGACAAATGCAAGCAGTTCTAGTCTTAAACTGTTCTGTTATCCAACCTCACCAGAATCGTGAAATTTTACCTAAAGAACTCACTTTTTGAGGCCAAACTGCAGCATAGAGGCTGAATAACACCACATTTAGCCACAGCCACATTTAACCATTGAGTGACAAAATTTCCCAGTCAGGGGGGCAGTAGGCTCAAACTTACAGCTCCCCACTTATACCCTTGCCCCACTCCAGTCCCAGGTGGAGGCAGCGGAAGACCAAGCCAGCCATGACCAGCCGGGGACCAGCACCCTCACAGCCCTTGTGCCTCAAGCTACAAGCTGGGGGCCTGAGGGGATAACAAATGTCCCTTTCCAATTGGCTGTCGTGCTGGCAGGCGTCAGACCCCGAGCTTGGGGAAGGTTTTTCGCCGGTTAAGGCAAGGGAGCTCTCTGAGGGCAGAAGGGGCTCCACCCCGATGAAGAGGGTACTCGGAGTCACGTTTAGGCTTTAGTTTGAGGCAGGGTAGCCGCCTCAATTTTGGGGCTTCAGAAACGTGCTTGTTCGTAACAAACAAATTTTCTTCACCCGATGCCATGAGCGAGGCTCTCCACGACATAGCAAACATCCTAGGGCTGGCAGTCCAACTGTTAGAGGCACAAAGGGATCAGCAGGATACCTTCTCCAATTCTCATACTTTGAACATTTAGCAGAAGCTAAATGTCTTCTGTACCAGCACTCAGGGGAGCAACAAGGCACTGGGGGAGGCTCTGGGTAGGCACCATCCCCAGTCTTACCCCATCTTCCTGTTTCAGCCTGTGGCTTTGAGCCATGGTTTCAGCTTGAACATGCCCCATACCAGCATACACAAGCGGTAAGATACTGTTTTTGATACACTGCTAAAGGCCATGTTTAGTTACTGGTGATTTATCAGTTGTCGGATAGCTCTTGCAACAAAAATTATTTATTTCAGCAAGTCACAGATGGCCCACCCAAGGACGGTTTTTTTAGTATCTAATACATTGTAAGGTTGTGGCAGGAAAATGCAGGTCAAGATCGCACATCTAATACAGAGCATATTTATACCACACAGACTTACAGCAATTCAAAGGTTATAATTTTATCAAGAAATAACGAAGTATATGCAGGTAAAAAATTTCTAAAGAACAAATCCTGTGCAGGACTATTTCCTCATCCCAAATCACTCTCTTTAAATCAAAAACTTTCTTGTTTTGAAGAAAGATTACATGTTTCACAAACATCTGTTATAGGAAGGGCTGCGTGTTCAGGGATGGTATCTAGGTTTCCTCCTGTCAGCTTTCCCTGGTCGCAGCCAAGAGATTACCTGACTGCTTTCAGCACTATTCACAGAAGAAATCAATGTCCTGAAAAACAAAGTAAAAGGGAAATATGATCTGAGATGGAAGGATTAAAGTTATCACCCTCCAAAGGTACATCAGTAGATGCAAACACTGAATACACAATAATATACTCAAAGTCCATTATCTATAAATCAACTAACTTCACAGAATTCTGGAAATTAAAAGGTCCTCCGTCTGTTGACCCCTTTTGCATAGCTGGGATGATTTGTTCCTGCCACAAATTTTTAAAGCAAATTAGGCAATGCCATCTTCTCTCCTCATTTCAAATAGTTAGATTAGCTCCTTTTTTTGTTTTGTATTCTTACATCTATACATATAACTAAGAAATCCAAGTAACCCTTTATCCTGAAACAGTTCCTAATCACAGATGAAAAGGATGCCTTAAACAGACTGAGGCTACAAAATACGTTTGCTATGGAGAAATAGGACTAGAAAATAAATGCCAGTATTTTGCTTGAAAACTTGGGTTAGACTTTCACAACATATTGCTTTTGTCTAACTCCCTGCTATTACCTTATATGGCTATGTAGATCTCAATTCTGCTGCAGGGAATTATCACACTGTGGTGCTCAAACTGTATAATGTTTACATTAGACCAGTGTATCACATATAGCTGTCCACTAGAAGCAGAAAAGAGGGAGCTGTTTCAAGCAGATTCTTACTGGTAATCAAAATACTCTCAGCCAGCAAATAGCCAATATTAAGTGATCGAGGGAAGGCAGGCAATCCCACATCACTCTGTAGTACACAGTCTGTTGCGTTCAGTCTGAGGACTAGACCTAGGATTAAAGATTCTATATACGATTTAAAGATTGACACAGTAATCATATTTTGCCATAAGCTTCAAAATAGCATATAGCTAAATATTCAATATTGATGAAGGTAGTTACTGGAAACCAACCACTCAATTTGTTTTAAGCATAAAAATGTTACTAGTAAGCATTACTTGTAAGCCAAACCATACCAGCCTCTGAGAAAGGACCCTCATTTTCCACGCCACGGTGAAGCATTTCAAATTTTTAGTAAACTCATTGTTTGGTGTATGACACATTACTGTACATAGTAGTACAGGCTACTCACTTACAGAACACTAAGGTGTTTCCAAGAGCTTTGTAATTCAGCTTTTTGAGGTATCAATAACTTTGTTATGAGGGAGCAAGCATGCTTTCAGTAAATCCAGAGTTCTATATGACTCTGTTCATCTATATATACAATTAATAGAAAGCACACTTTAATGTATTACTAAAGTACACAGCACACTATCTGAAAGAAAAAAAAAGCAAGCTTTTGGTAAAACTTATATGGCCTTGAAGGAATACTATTCAAATCAACAGAAACTCTTAATAGGATGCAGCATTTGTAATGCCTGCACTATCCACAGCTTAGGTTAGGGATTTTATTGAGGCTACTTGCCTGTATAAAGGCCCAAAGATTGGATCCCTAAGCATGTGTGATATGCTGCTATCAACTGCCACAAGCATTTGTTTTTACAGCAAATTAGCATTACATAGACAAGTATATGTATGTAGCCAGCTAGGCTTTTGCTAATTCCTTACCATTGTAGGAACAGTCTTACTTGCTTCTTGATAGACATGTTGTTCTGAGACTAATCTGCTAAGGAAATAACCAACTGTCCCCATATGGTCTTCATATTGTTCTCTATAAACCTTCAAGCAAAGAGATGTATAATTAGGTACCTTAAAACAGTCCTCATCTGGTTTGAGCTAGTTTGTAATTTTCTCAAAAGCAGTTACTAATAGTGTTCCTTACTCTGATTTTAAATTTCCTAGTTTCCAAATAAGCCAGCATATGAAACAAACCATGATCACAAGTTCCAATACAGGCATACTTTTCTGAAGTAAATTAATACTGCCTGTAGTTTATCTGGAATTTCTTTATAAATGCAGCTAATATTTATCTTTGGACCAACTGTGATAAGCTTTCTCCTCCTTACTTTCAGCAAGCAGTGACACAAAAGACCTATTGAGATCTTCCATTAAGGTTCAGTTCATAATTACCATATAGTTATTTCATTTTTTAAAAAGAAGTTTCAAGCTCTCAAGACTCCTCAATCAATTTAAGTTTAAACATTTACTTTGAAAACTAAGTTGCTGCTTTAAAGCCCACAATAGCTCAGCATTAGCATCCATTTCTTGATAGAAATTATTGTTAACCTACTTCTGGTTTGCTCATATACACACGAATCTCCTCTTACACTTCCAGCCCAGAACTCTCCAGTCTTTTTCTTTCACTAGTTTTGAGTAAACATAAGTCAACTGCCCTTTTTTAATATCAATGAATCTGCAGTCTGGAGCATTATAATCCTCTTCTGCTTTGGCAAGGGACATGGTGTCTAGAATTAAAAAAAAAATGAGATGGAAAAAGTTAAATACAGATTTACTTTTAGAGAGACATACAAATGCGTATGCTTGTATGCACACATGAGAAACTATTTCTACAGATAAAAGTAGGTTATCCTGAAATTAATAGAAGTCTTCAAGAATTTGTTCCGCTCATTTTTCTATTTTCCAGTAAGCAAAGTAAAAGCCTAAGAATGTGCCATTTCATCATAGCAGAAGTTACAATCCCCCTCTCTACACTTACCTTTGAGTGAAAGATGTCCTTTACAAAACTCTTTTTGCAGTAAAACTGCAAGTGACACTCAACACGAACCATTCTGCTTTTACAGCTAGCAAACCAACGCAGATATTACAGAGCTAAATAAGCAGCGTAGTTTTCCCTCACACTACAGCATCTGAACTCCACAGCCATTTTTGAGACTATTTTGTCCTCAAAATTAAAGCAAAATTACTTACAGACACAGTCATCATCAGCACACAGCTTCTTGCTGGCAAGCTCATCCATAAAAATTCCAGTTACAAGAGGACACATAAATCGAAGACATAAAAGTGAGACAACCAAATAAACACATCGTGCCAGTTTTCTTTGCTGCAGTGCTTTGCCAAATGCATGCTGGGTCCAGCAATCTTCATCATTTATGGAAGAGGCAGGCAATTGAACAAACATGCTGGGCCAATGGGAAGGGGCTGGGCGGACATTCCACCCCACCAGAGGAGCCACAGGCAGGAGGACGATCACAGGGTCCACTCATGAAACTGAATCCCTTCCCAAAGCCATTCTGCATTAACATTTCAATCAGCAACTGTATTATTTAAAGGTTTTAAGTCTTCCTGTAGTTGTCCATTGCTTGAGGTAAGATTAAGGCTAAATTTGAGAATGAAAATTAAGTCAGACCCTGGTAAGAAGCAAACAAATTTACATCCTTCCAAACCCTCAAGTTCTTCATCTTCACAAATGCTCACTGACAAGCATTATCTTCACTGGATCGGAAACCCTCAGTGGCAGAGATTCCCATTATGGTCTATAGAAAGGACCTACTAGGACTCTTAACATATGGATGCAAATGTAAACAAACCATTACGGAGTGGAAACCCAATAAAAAGGCTTTGCAAGTCAGCAATTTAAATTTGAAGTCTAAAAGTTCAAGCACCACATACTTGTATAGGCAAGATCCTTTCCACAAGGAAACACAGTGGAGAGCAGAACATGCAGGTTACAGCAGGACAGCAACCATTTCACTTTTATTTACATAGCTGAACTCAGTTGAGAGTTTGCAGTTGCAAGATGCTGAACAACACACAGTGCCACCAGCTGACTTAAAAGATCCTCTTTATTCTTTGGAGAGGACATCTAGAATTCCTCTAACTTACCGAAATCTTGTCATAGTGTATATAAGACAAGACTTGTACGGAGTATGGGAGTATTTTAAATAAAATAGAATCATTGAATGGTTTTGGTTGGAAAAGACCTTCAAGATCATAGAGTCCAACCATCAATCTAGCCCTACTAAGTCCACCACTAGACCATGTCTCCTAAGCATGACATCTACTCATCTTTTAAACACCTCCAGGGATGGTGACTCAACCACCTACCTGGGCAGCCTGTTCCAGTGCTTGACAATCCTTTCAGTAAAGAAATTCCTCCTAATATCCAACCTAAACGTCCCCTGGCAAACATGAGGCCATTACCTCTTGTCTTATCACTAGCTACCAGGGAGCAGACTGACTCCCATCTCACTACAATCTCCTTTCAGAGGGAGATTTCAGAGGCAGGTTCACCCCTTCACAGAGAGTGACAAGGTCTCCCCTCAGCCTCCTTTTCTCCAGAGTGAACTAACCACAGCTCCCTCAGCTGTTCCTCCTAAGACTTGTGGTCTAAACCTTTCACCCTTCCAGCATCTTGATGTCCTAGATACACGCACACACAGAACAATGACTGGAGTTACTGCACTGTAAGCAATACACATCACAGCTGTCAGGCCACAGGCAGCTAGTCTGGATCCTTAGAGATGACCGAGAGTAAGACACATAATTTCCAAAACTCCAGAGAACCGGTGCTTCCCGATTCACAAGCAGGTCTGAAGAACTGCTGGCTGCACCAGCTTTCAGTTCACAAGCAGAACAGAGGAAGCTGTCATCAAGAATCCCACACTTAAAGAAAGAGCATCTTGCAGTTCCTAACATCACCCTCCTATTGCAGCTGACTTCACTATATTCTCCTCTAACCTTCCAGCCCATTAATCCTTCCTCCAATTTCCCCTATGTACTGTCTAACTTCCTTTGCAGACAGCTCCACATGAACCCTTTCAACTGAAAAAAGGTGAAGAGCAGTGGTATGCAATGGTAGTCTCATGTACACATACTAGTGGGATGCAAGGACAGCATAATTAATACCTGTAATATCATGACTGCAGAAGGAAAAACCTAAGGTTCACGGTGGAATACTTTTGCTCCCATACAGGCACACTGAAACAATCTGCACTTACAAGTATCAGAATACTTGTGAAATCACACACACAAATCACTAAAAAGAATTAAAAATTAAATATATAGAGATAGGACAGTAACTGAGATGACTGTGGAAGGGGCATCATCTTGCAATGTACTCTGGGAGTTGAAGATTAAAGACTTTTAAGGTCTTGTGCAGAAAAGGTGGTTTATGTAGATAGGTTCAGATGCACTTGCTCAGAAATTGAGTGGACATGGCAGAACTACCATACATATCCCCAAAAACATACCAAGGTTTTATAAAAAGCAATCATGCCTCCCTTTAGATGCAACACTTTGGAAAAAGAACACTTTTAAGTCAGTTCTCAATTGTAACAGAACACAAACTGGCAGAACAGATGCTCTGCAACTACACACAACACAGGCACAGACTGCACCAAGCCACGGTCACAGAGGAAAGGCTACAGCCTCCAGAATCCTTCCTCTCACTTCCATTGAACAAATAGCTTTAGAAACAGAAAAACCTCAACACTTGCAATGTAGCTACAATGCAAAACATTCTTCCTTGTAGTTTCTTGCCTAAACATCAGCTACTCCAATACTTGCCTGAACTTCTAAAGGAAATCATCTAACTCTATCCCATTACTTATTTGACTGAAAGTGCGGTTAGAGGCCTCATAGAGAAAGTGTTCAAGAAGTGAGGAATGGTGCAGTATCACAAGCGCTGTGCAACCGCTTCCTCTCAAACAGTGATCTTCATTGGTCTGACTGCAATCCTCCTAGCCAACACCATGCAACAGCTACAGCAAGATTCACCAAAAATATAATATTAAAGTAAATTTCATTATTCTCTTAACCTAAAATATCTTTCGAGGTCTTCTATCCCTTGAACAAAACACTTTAGCCTTTGAAGTGATTTCTGCACCCAAATATATAGAACAGTTACAACTCACAATACTGCATGTATTTACTTCATTCCACGTATCTCCTGTCACACAAGACCTGTAAACACCAAACCCGGAAGCATTAGAACACGTATTTTAGAAAAAAATTGCCTAAAAATGGATCATCAAGCTCACCTGCATTGTTTTTGTAAAGAGCCAGAAAGCTCTTTGGAAACCATTTATTAAAATCACTGGTAACAGGGTGGAAAGAGCAGAAGAGAAGACAACAGATAAACTTCTATGTTTCTTCTGTGGACCTGCTGCTTCTATTACCAATCACCATTATAACAATAAAACCACGTCAAACAACAGTGCTGTCAAACTGTAATCAACTTCTACCCATATCTCAAAAAAAAAAAAAATCAATAAGGATAATTTGTTTTCCTTCAGTGACACAATTATTCTTGCTGAAAAGCAGCTGTCCCTCTGATAAAACCGCTAAAGACTGTGTTGCAATTTTTCTGAATATGCTGGCATTCAGCATTCCTG